GCAAAGGTATTGATTGGGAATCAGAAATACAGTCCAGAATGGCTGTATTTTTTTGTGAAGAGTTATTGAAGGACACATGATGGCAATTTACTCTGCTGGTATGCCTGTATACATATTAGAAAATCTATAACATTTTATGATTAAAATAAAAGTTCTACGAAGGTTTTTCTGTTATTTATTTATATATATGTATGTGTGTATATGTATATGTATATAAGTATATATATGTATATATATGTATATGTGTATATATATGTATGTGTGTATATATATTATATATATATATGTATGTATGCAGGGCTTTTTTTCTCATAGAATGTCCAGAACGGAGTTCCAGCACCTTTTTTGGATGGAACCTTGTAGGGTAGGCAAGGTGGGTTGTATGATGTATGAGTTCCGGCACCTTTTTTTTTTTATAGAAAAAAAGCACTGTATGTATGTATATGTATATATTGTATGTGTATATGTATATGTATATATGTAAGTATGTATTTGTATATGTATATATATATGTATTTGGGCTGACAGGGTGCACCAAACTCAAGATAATTCTTCTCCCGTCTCATAGCTAACAAAGTGAGAAAGAACCTGTGGCCTAGAGGTTAATACACACACAAGTTATAAAGCTAAAAATTTGACTCTTGGGTAAATCCATGATAAAACCAACAAATATCGATCACCAAGAGGAAAGTAGTAAATAGTAAAAAATTTAATGAGCTGAGCTTTCGTTGGGCCCACCCAACATCATCAGGGCTTTAAAAGTAGTCACCGGGAAAGAGCTTTTATAAGATGTTAACAGCCTGCATCTGGCTTCTGGAACGTGTCACCGGACCCAGCTGTTCGTGTTGTATCCTAGATGCATTACCTACATCAACGCATGATGTTTTTTCATACCTCCTCCGTATTTTACCGTAAGTGTTCTCCTCATTAACTTCAGGGGTGGAGTGAATTCTGTGTGTGGCACTATGCTCGGGGGGGGGCAGTTCTTCTTTGATCTCACTGTTAAATTCCTCCGTCCCTTACAAACGTGATCCAAGTGTGCTGTCTCCTCCTTGCATATATGTATGTATGTATGTATGTGTATATATATATATATGTATGTATATGTCTATATATGTATGTGTGTATGTGTATATATGTATATGTATATATGAGTGATGGCGAACCTTTTAGAGACCGAGTGCCCAAAAACTGGCCCCGCCCCCACTCCGTCCCCTGCCCCGCCCCCACTCCGCCTGCCCACAGGGCCACTCACCACCTCCAGGGCCTGCCGCAGATCGCCCAGGCAACCCAGCAGTGCCATGGCGGCCACGCCCTCTGCCCGCACCCCGCAGCATCAATTGTGCATGATGGTGTGTGAGGGCAGAGTCTTGTCTACGCTGCCTGGCTGCCATGTTCTTGGCTGTGCTGCTCCACATGGGCCATGCTCAGGGGCAACTCTCCTCCAGGGGGGCTGCTGGTGAGAGGGTTGCGGGGGGAGGCAAGGCTGGGACAACGGCACATGTGCCAAAAGAGAGGGCTCAAAAAAATTTAGTGTGTGTGTGTGTGTGTATATATATATATACATATTGTAAAATGTCAACTTCTCATGGGAAAAAAAAAGATCTCGCAAAGTTGGAATTGATTGAACTTTTTAATCCCACCCAGTCTACCGTTACCACTGCAGCCACGCCCACCCAATGGGCCATGCCCAGCCAGTTGGCCACGCCCACCCAATGGGCCACGCCCACCTGGCAACCGACAATACGTAAGTGGGTTTCAGGTTGTAGTTTGGGCATTTGGTCTCTAAAAGGTTCGCCATCACTGTCCTAGCTCATCTCTGGTTTCAGTATTTCTCTTAGTACTTTTATAATTACACTGCAAATTCTTTTTGTGTGTGTGAATGTCTGGAAAAATCCACAGCCTGGCTTGCACCTCTTAACAGCACCAAACATACTGTAATCTAAGTAAAGGAAGAACTGTCAGACCTATTTATGCATCTCACACAAGTAGTTCTTGACTTAAAACTGTAATTGAGGCCAGAATTATGGTTGTAAGTCTTGCAATCATTGCCAGAACCAGCAAAAAACATTGTGAATTACAGTATGTCAGGGGTCTTCAAACTTGGCCCTTTTATGACTTGTGGACTTCAACTCCCAAAATTCCTCAGCCAGGCATGCTGGCTGAGGAATCCTGGGAGTTGAAGTCCACAAGTCATAAAAAGGCCAAGTTTGAAGACCCCTGCAGTATGTGATTGCAGGATGCTGTGAACAGCTATAAAGATGAGCCAGTTGCTAAATGCTCAAAATGGGATCACATGACTTTGCTGGATGCACAGGGCTATCATAACTCTGAACACAGGTCACCTGTAGCTCTGTCATGACTGAGAGTTTTTATTGCTAAATCTCCCATCCTATTGGAAGTCTTCCCATTAGAACTGATGGATGTGATCTCTGTCTAAATTTCTATAATAGAATAGGATTCTCTTTGCTGCAGGCATGCTGACTGGGGATTTGGGGTTCTGATGTTCAACGCAACATAAAAGAAAAATGATCTTTGTAGTGAAGGATAAATTGGGACCCCCAGGCCCATCAAACTCCTGAGTCCTTTTTTTTTACTTTGTAGCCCTTAGAATTTCCTCTGCCTCTGATAGGATCCATTAAATGACTCTTTCTCACCATTATAAAGCAGAATATACAATTGTTATTTACCATTTGCCTACTCACTAACATATATTTGCAATCACAAAATGAATACTGAGTCACCTGAGAATACTTAGGGGTGATGGGCGGCATAAAAATTTAATAAAATAAATACAGCACTTTTGGGTCATTTGTGGACATGCAGAGTAGTGAAAATGTTAAGTTATCCAACAGGAACATTCTAATCTATTGCATTATTTACTAACTCAATATTTGTGGTGGCTTTATACAACATAACTTTTACTTCCAGTCTAATGGCTTGCAAAATGTAGCAGATTGCATCAACGCTGCTTAGGATAGGATAGGATAGGATAGGATAGGAAGGTCTTCTAGTCCAGCCCTCCCCCCCACTCAAGCAGGAGAACCTATACCATCTCAGACAAGTGACTGTCCAGTCTCTTCTTAAAAACCTCCAATGATGGAGCGCCCATGATTTCTGGAGGCAAGCTGTTCCACTGGTTAATTGTCCTCACTGTTAGGAAGTTTCTCCTTAATTCCAGGTTGCTTCTCTCTTTGGTCAGTTTCCAACCATTGTTTCTTGTCCTGCCCTCTGGTACTTTGGAGAATAGTTTGATGCCCTCTTTGTGGCAGCCCCTCAAATACTGGAACACTGCTATCTTGTCACCCGTTTCTTCTTTTCTTAGACTAATCAAACCCAAATCCTGCAGCCGTTCTTCATATGTTTTAGTCTCCAGGCCTTTGATCATTTTAGTTGCTCTTCTCTGAATTTTTTCCAAAGTCTCAACATCTTTTTTGTAGTATGGTGACCGAAATTGGTTGCAGTATTCCAGGTGTGGTCTTACTAGGGTTTTTATAAAGCGGTACTAATACTTTGTGTGATCTTGATTTTATGCCTCTGTTTATACAATCCAGGATTGTATTAGCTTTTTTGGTGGCTGCTGCACATTGCTGGCTCATAGTCAAGTGATCATCTACTAGGACTCCAAGGTCCCTCTCACAATTACTGTTTTTGAGCCAGGTCTCTCCTGTACTTATACCTTTGAATTTTCCTGCATAAATGTAAAACTTTGCTTTTCTCCACATTAAAATTCATTTTGTTGGATAGGGCCCATTTTCAAGTTTGTCAAGATCTTTTTGGATCCTGAGCTTGTCTTCTGGGTTGTTGGCTATTCCTGCCAGTTTAGTGTCATAAAATTTAAGTCTAACTTCTTTAGTGAGTTTGAAATGAAGGCATATTCACAGATGTGGCAAAAGGAGGATGTTGCCAGAGTGTGTCTTCACACAACAGTCTGCAACAAAGAGCTCTTAAATAATGTCCCAGGTGTTCATGCCATTTCTCCCTTTAGCATCAGGGCTGGTTATTAGGTTTGAATTGATTGCTAACAGACTGCAAAAAGTTAGGCACTTCTGTTTGCTGCTTGCTTCTCAATAAGTGTACATCAAAATAATTTTTAAAGTGAACACAAAGATAGCAAAAGATTTAAATCAAAATCAAATACTTAAGATTTATCCAGTTTCCACCTCTAGTAAGCACCACAGCAAGCCACTAGATATATAAACTGACAGCAAACAGCACTCCTTACTAGCACGGATGATGTTATTCAGTTTGGGTAACGAAATGCAAGAAAACAACCAAGTTCAGAGAGCACCAAGGACCCCTCAAGCACCACAATCTTGCTTTGGTGTAAAGTCAGGTCAAGTCATAAATCAGGAACTCCACGCACACTTAAGCTCTAATACAGGGGTGGGCAACCTCGGCTCTTTTATGACTCGTGGACTTCAACTCCCAGAATTCCTGAGCCAGCCATGCTGGCTCAGGAATTCTGGGAGTTGAAGTCCACGAGTCATAAAAGAGCCGAGGCTGCCTACCCCTGCTCTAACAGAACTCTAAACGCGGCTAAAAGTAATTTAAAAAGTCCAATTCTTTATCATTTTAAAGCTCAAAATGAAACGGCTAATACCACTGGCATCTCAGAATGCCAGTTGCTAAGGAACAGTAGCCGGCGGAGACTCGGCTCCTTGCCGGAAACACCCTAGTCATCCGCTGCCTCCTGCAGAAAACGGGGGTGGCGACCCGGAAAAGTTTTCGAGCGAGCTACGCAAAGGTTGCTCTGCGGAAAGCCGATCCCAGGAATTTTCAAGACAAGGAGCGCAGCCCCGCCTCCCGCTCCTAACATTCCTCTCCGCGCGGAGAGGGGCTGAGACCCACAGCGGTGGGCGGGGCAAAAGAACGTCTCACCGCCCAATGATTGCCGCGCGAGGGGAAGTCGCCCATTCTGCTCAATAAGTGCCGTAGAGAAAAGGGCGTGTCCTCCGGAAAGTGCGCGCGCAGGTGTGCTGGAGGGCTTTGCTTTTTTTTTCTTTTACCCCTTGGTGGAGGTCGTCTGCGACGGAGGGCGTAGTTGTCGGTGGCGGCGTAGTTGTGTGAGTAGCTCTGTTGCCCGCAAGCGCTGAGAAGGGGGGGGGGGGAAAGTGGGAAGATGGTCTGAAGGAAAGAGGCAGAGAAATCTTCTTCGTTGGGGTTAAACCTTTCGGGGCTGCAGCCGGGAGAATTTTGGTTTGGGTCTGGGGGATGGGTGGGAGTGAGGAGTGGGGAGGTGGAAAGAAAAATATTCCTTAAATCTAAGCCGGTTTTGTTATTCCCTCTCCCCGCTCCCGTGTTTCCAAAGAAGGGAGTGACCTCGGGATTTATTGCATCCCAGGGCCCATAACTCTTGGCTGGCGTGGTGGCAGGCAGTTGGTTCTGCACACATGGGCCATAGTGTACAGCGGTTCCGTTTGAAAGGTTGCTCTGCATGCTCCTTCCAATGTAGACACGAGGCTGCTTCCCTACAGGATGTCTGGGGTGTTTTTAGAACAGGCCTGTTATTTAATTTGATTTTAGCATAGAAACTATTTATTTATTATTGTGGTTTTTAGTATCGCCTGTTCACCGCCCTGAGTCCCGTAAGGGAGATAGGGCGGTATATAAATTTAATAAATAAAATAAAATAAAATAAATGTCCTTGGACCTGCCTTGCCCAGAATAGTTGATGGCGCTGTCGGGCAGACCCTCGGGAGTATTCTCTTGAAATCCCTGGTTAGGAAAGACTGAAAATAATAATAAAGGCTTTTGATCTTAACAAGACCTATTCCTATAAAACAGAGCAAGATTATTGAACTGGGTGCTGCTATGTTTTATATAGAAGGCAGTTTCTTACCTATCTTTCTATTGTTAACAATAATGCAATGTTAGGGATTTTGTTTCCTAATGATGTATCCAGAGGCTCTCTTTGTTTTCTGTTCATACATTATACCCTGTTACACCCTTTTTCAAAAGCAGTAGGAACTAAGAGCTAAATTGTTTAGCAGGGTGCTAATTCATATTTTGATTTAGGAATGTGAAACCCCTTACAAGAAGACTGGTAAAGAAGAGTAATGGAAGATAAAAGGCAGAGAGCCAGAGTCCAGGGTGGCTGGGCTAGCCAGGGTAATAGCAGAATGACTTCATGTTCAGGTAAATGCTGTCTTGTTCTAATGTGTATAAACAAATTAACCTTGTTGCCTAGCAGGAACACTACTGCCAATTCAGAGAGATCTTGTCCCTACCTATAAGTACTACAGAAGGAGTTTCTCCATGCTCCCCCTTGAGTCTATGAACTAGTTTACTAGGTTGATTTCTTATATCAGCTGCTACTCTCATAGTTCATTTTTATTCTCCAAGTTAGCTCTCTTTTGACTGCTGATCCAACCTTGGGGATAGCTATTTAACTCTCATTTAGATCAAACATTTTTGGGGGGGTGTTGGGCCTAAGTCTTTTTGCATATGTGTACTAGTGGCACATATGCCAATTTTAATGAAAAATATCAAATTTAGAGGCTAGAGGAAACATTTGGAATCTTCATGGCCACTCTCAGAAAATGGTCACTTATGACAAAACCTCCAAGGTAGATTGATATGTGTCTCTTTCCCCCCCCCCTCTCCCCATTTCTCATCCTGCTCTTTACCACCTTGTTTTATTGTGTTTCTATATAAAGGGGTAGGAAGATGGTTGGTTTGAAACATGCTAGCTTTTCATTTCTGGAAATAAAATATTATTTAAAATCTCTACACCTGAAGGGACACTATGAGAACAAGGCCTTTAATTGCCTCCCTTTAGAATGGAGGCTCTAGAAACAGTTTCCTAACTTCAGTGATTATTGATCTGGGTTCTTATAGGATATAGGATTATAGTGTAAGCTTTCTAGGTGTTATTAAAAAAAAAACCCATAAAGCTTGCTATAATGGTTTCTGTTGGGACTATAAAAAAATGTGGTTTCAACACAAAGATATAGATTTCTTAATAACGTGAAGGAAATGAAACCAGTAGAAATGGTTCATATGCTTATTTAAGCCTGTCTGAAAGCCTCCATGCATACCTTCATAAGAATAGCATGAAAAAATAATAAACCTGATTTTAGATAATATTATTTTTAATATCAGATTCTCAAAGTACTTCACACATGGGGGCTCTACATGAAATAAGTGCTCCCAAATCTTCGAGCCCTCTCACAAAAATCACAGTTCCTGAAGTAGAGATAGTATAAGGTAAAGGACTTTCTGCGGATTTTATTCCACTAGTCGTTGCTGACTATAGGGGGCAGTGCTGATATCCGTTTTAAGGCCATTGAGCTAGGGCTGTTTGAAGACATTTTCACAGTCACGTGGCCAGCATGACGTCATGGAGTGCTGTCACCTTCCTATTGAAGTGATACCTATTTATTCACATTTGCATGCTTTTGAACTGCTAGGTTGGCAGGAGCTGGAGCGAGGACGGGAACTCACCCCATCACATGGTGCTCAGGTCTCAACCTGGATTGCCGGTTCTCCAGCCGACAAGCCCAGCATCTTAACCGCTGAACTACCACACTGCCCTTTGAAGTAGAATTACCAAAGGATAAAATGTTACCTGTATGTGTGTGAATGTACTCTTAATTTTAAAATACAGATAATAACATTGAAAACATGAAAGTTCTTGTTATCTAGTTTGATACTGTTCTTTCTTGTGTTGTTAGCCTTTAGAAATTCCAATGCTAGAAATCCAGCATTTGCCAATTCTGCACCATCCACGTTCCAAGCAGAGGCAGAGCTTTCATCTAAAAGACAGTTTGTTTTTAAAGCACCTGAAGAGGTAAAAATATTGTATTATATTGTTATTGCTTTGTTTATATGTATATAAAATTGCCTGAACACATAGAAAGCACATTTTAATGGTTTCTTGTGTGCATTGTCTTAAAAAATATCTCCCAACTCAGATGCATTATCAGCATCATAGAGCAGCATAACTAAACAATTATTATTGGAATCTTCTGCAATATTTGTCATTTTGGTTGCAAAATACATGATTTCTAGTTATTTTTTACCCTCCCTCCCTCCCCCATAAATAAGTACACTTTATGTTTATGTTTAATTTCCTCAACCTACTAATCTACCTATTTATCCCATTGAGATAATTTCCATCCTGATCTATAGTGTTTCCCATCTCAGTACAGGAGAGTTAGTTACGGGGGGGGGGGAGTATAATTTAAACATGATTTAGTAATACAAAGCAGCACTAGCAAATGTAAACATGGTCAGTATTTTCATAGTTCTTTGTCCTTTGTCCTTTTAAACTGTGGTAAACTAAATATACATACTTTATAAAAATATGAGGTTTTTTTTTAATCCTTAGGTTGTATGCAAAGTCCCAGAACCCAGAATAATAGAGTAAGTATTCCAGTTTTAGCTCATTTTAATATCTCTTGATCATTTGGGCTTTGTTGCTCTTACAGGTAGTCCACACAATTGCAATTGGGACCAGAACTTTGTCAATAACCAGTGCAGTCATTAAGCAAATTTGGCTTCCCCATGACTTTGCTTGTTGGAAGCTCCTTGGGAAGGTTACAAATGATGATCACATGATCCCAAGATGTTGCAACCGTTGTAAATACTTTCCAGTGGATTATGAGGAGAATGCATCGGTCATAAGTACAAGGACAGGTCATAAATCACTTTTTTCAGTGCTGTTAGAAGTTTGAACTGTCATTAAATGAGTGATCATAAGTCAAGGACTACCTGTAATGTGTTTTTACTCCCATATCTCTTGGATCTATTAAATTTTCTTTAACCCTGATTAGTAGTTTGAACCTTTTATGTCTTCTACCCAACCATGATGGATTTTTTTTTCTCCTCTGCTGCAGAAAACAGGGTCTATATGAGATCAGCACATTGCCTTCAGGAATATCAAAGTAAGTATCTAACATTTTGTGTGTGTGTGTGCGCGCTTGCAGAATAGTTCTGTTAGGATTATGTTCCAGTATTTGAATGAGTATTAAGTAATTATAGCAAAGACGTTATACAAAACAAATAAACATGGAGGACCATGGTATTGTACAGAAATTTATTAATAATTATGTTTTTCTTAATATTCACCCAAGTTAAGAATATCCTTTTATCTTTTATCATAGACACTTGTTCTAATAACACTTTCACATTGGCTTTCTTTTCTGATAGATACCTTATAAGTCTACAGTGTAGTTGAAAATTAACTGTTTTTTAAAGCTGTTTTTATTAAATCTTCAGGTGAAAAGAATCATTGGGTCAAGACCATTCCCATTAGTTACTTTCCAACAATGTTATATATTTATTTGCTAGATTTAAATTCTAAGGGTTTTTTTTCCAAAAGCGGAAGGCAATGTACACGGGGATCTTCCTTTATTGTACACACACAATAGGAAACCCGTAAATCTTGTATCTTGTTTGTTTAATCTTTTTTTTCCCTGCTGGATCCAAAGAATGCTACTAGAAGAAGAAATATCTGCTTGCAGAGCTTGGGAACTCACCCATAGACTTTTTGTTAGGAGAACATTGAACTTCATTCCTTTCCAAATCTCACTTTCTCCATGATGTACAAAAAATTCTATGCTCACAAAAGGACACGAATGAACTTAATTTTTCCTTTCTAATGAAATAACTTACAGGGAATTCCTTTCACTTACAGAAGAGGACTTGGGTTCAGAAAAAAGTAATCTCTGTCTTCTGTTTATTGATTATGCCTGGCTATTTATACGAGAGCCAAAGTAAAGTGATTTAAAATGTTTTACTATGAGATTACAGATCTGTTTAAGAAATAAAATTAACAGTGAATTGGTGCTAGAGCTAGATCCAAATTACATGAGTCTGTATGCACATTTTGACTCATATCCTCACTGACCTCTTACCTGCTTCAAAGAATCTATAATTTCCATATGTCTCTCCTGAACTACCTGGAACCCTATAACATTATGCCTGCATTGGCCTGTCATTGACTCAAAGTGATACAATGGGCAATGGTACTGAAGGTTATTGAGAAGTCTAGAATAATTAATATTTTCCCAATCACTTTTTCAGCATAAATCACTTCTCGTTACATCTACTTCTCTGTTCTTATTTCCCTCATGGATGCCCTGAGACTATTCTCTTTGTTCTCCAGGCAAAGTACAAAAATAAAAAGTGAACTTAAAAAAGTTCTCCAACAATACCATAATCATAAGCAAGTAGGGAGTGGAAGAGCTTGATAACCTAAGCAACTCATAATATTGAAGTGGTGGTGGTGGTGGGGATACTCTTTTCTTAGTAGCGCACTTGCTTTCTTTGCTTGATGGAAATAAATGACTCAGAACCTGCCTGGAATGTCTTAGTTTGAAATATCAACGTGTAATGTGACTTTTCTTTATTCTAGGATTCATTTGATTCCTGGCTTCGTTTCATTGAGTGAAGCAGACTGGATGTTTGATCAGCTGTTGCATGAAATTCCATGGAGGCAAAGAACACACATTAGACATGGTAGCTTTGCTATCAGTCTCCTTTAACTATTGACTTCTGTTTCTGCAAGTTCTAGCAGTAAATCTTGGAATATTCACCCTAGTAAAATCCATTGCAGCCAGCAAAATACCTGGCTCTCTGCCAGCAGTTCTAGTCTCCACTTAATACATAGATTTAGGGCTAACCTTTGTTTGTTTAGTATAAGGAGATAGCCAAAACAAACTTTTACTTGCTTTTTCCTGCTCTAAAGGTTCAGAAAGGTTCCGTGCACCTACTAGTGATTTTTCTTTGTTTGTGCTGGTTGGTTGTTTTGCTGGTGATTATTTTTGCTGAGAAGGCAGAGAGGCTGGAGGTTCAGTGTTATCATTTCAGCTCTGAACTGGTCTGCTTGTTCCTGAGTTTCAAAAAGCAGTACGAAGTTGGGACTGCACCTTCTGTGGTAAAGCAGGTTTTTACAATGGCATGTTTTTGGTTGGTCACACAGCAAACTGTTTTCCTTGTTCTGTTTATTTTTTTTATCTATTGGATTTGGGCATCAGTACCATGATGTTTAAACCATAAGCTGCCTGAGCTTGGTTCACTTGAGGACACTTGTGTTACTTCTCACGTTTCCTTCTAGAAATTTGTATTTCAAACAGAACAACTTCACTGATGTATACATAGCCTAGAATAATTTTCTCTTTGTTGTGTTATTTACGAATTGCAAGTTAAAAGTTTCATTTGGTCAGCTTTTTTATCTAGAGAAGGCAAACAAAATGATAATAAAAGAGTTATTAACTCATTTATTCCCCAAATGTCAAAAAAACTTTATAATCATATATTACTGGTTTCCATAGTAGCCCTAATTATTACATCCATATTTTTTCCCCTGTAGATCGATCTTACGACGAACCCAGACTCACAGCATGGTATGGAAAACTACCCTACACTTATTCCAGACTTGAAATGCAGGCAAACTCTGATGTACGTATGGATCTTGAGTTTTCTAAAGTTGAAAAATAAACTTTAAAAGACATAATAACAATGGTGATGTGAATTTCAGGCATTCTTTCTTCACTGTGATTTCTTTTCTGGCAAGGGAAAAAAAAACTAAAACTCCACTGGATACAGGGGGTGGGAACCAGAGAGCAGCAAAGCCACTTCTCGATGCAACTGTGGAGAATTGTGAATGGGGTAAATCCCCTGAGACAGGATAAAGCGGATTTTCTTTTAGTGGAAAATCCCTCAATCACAGCTGAACTATCTTTACAGTATTACCTCTGAAACAGAAAGTGAGCTGATAGCAGTTCCTTAAAAATTTCATGATCTCATAAGGGATGATCTTATCTTTTCAGGATAGATCAGACTAGGAATTCAGTATTGTGTAGGTAATACTACTTTTATTGAAAAATTATAGTAACAGGATCTTGCAAGTCTGAATGTGCCTCCCCCTTCTCTTCCTTTATCCTTGCAATCACTAAGGAGGGTAGTGTCTGAGTTGTTTACTCAGGTTACATTTCTGCCCCTGACTTAACCCCCTTTTTCTAACCATTGTCAGCAAATCTTCCTCCTGTCTCTCAAGGCCATGATTTCTTCCCTCTCCTGAATAGAGGTTTGTTAAAAAGTTAGTAGCTGATGTTTTGGCACAAAAATATTTATTACACAGTATTCTTACTGTGCCTTGCTGAGGAGATTAAGGAATTCATTTGTTGAGCTTTCAAGTCATTATAGAATTGGACGTTCATCCTGGTTTGTTTCATCTGTTTTCATAGTTAAAGCCTTTTGAACTTGCATTCTTTTTGCTCAGTTGCTAAAGAATTGAGTATTAAAATGGAATATTTTTTAAAGATCTTCTTTTAATGCCTACATACTTTGGTTGGAAACTGATCAATGAGAGAAGCAACCTGGAATTAAGGAGCAAGTTCCTAACAGTGAGGACAATTAACCAGTGGAACAGCTTTTGCCTTCAGATATCGTGGGCGCTTCATCACTGGAGGTTTTCAAGAGACTAGACAGTCACTTGTCTGAGATGATATAGGTTCTCCTGCTTGAGCGGGGGGGCTGGACTAGAAGACCTCCAAGGTCCCTTCCAGCTTTTATTCTGTTATGTTGTATTGTATATATTATATTATATTCTTATTTATTAATTGTTTGAGTCTCATTCATACTGTGTGTGTGTGTGTGTGTGTGTGTGTGTGTGGAAAATTCTAGGGGAAAAAAAAAGAACCTTGCATTTATCAAACACTGGAGGGCAGTATTGGAAAAGAACAGAGTTAAAGTCACTGTCACTATTTTTTCCTTCAGTTAAAATTGAGAGAAGAATTTAATGCTGGTTTTTCCTATCAAATAGTGATAATTGTGACTTTAATTCTGATTTATGTCATGGTTTGCTAAGGGAACATGCCCCCCCCAACTAGCTTGGATATTAAACTATTGAGGAAATTCTAGAAATTTTCTTAGCAACGTTGAACTATAATTTCCATGAAGAATTATTTAGGCAGCTTGCTAGTTGAGAAGTTTGTAACTGGTTTAATTTTGGTAATTCAAATATGCATCTGCAACAAGGTGCATATATAACAAATTATAGGTAATCCTCTCTTACCAACTGCCTTGTACAGCAACTATTTACAGTTATGACAATAATGAAAAATTTGTGACTTATCCTCACATGTGCAAACGTTGTAGGTCTATGCAAATAGTTCTTGACTTATAACCATTTAAAGTTAGAACAGCACTGAAAAACATGACTTATTATTTTTCATACTTATGAACGTTGCAGCATCATAATTTTGATGCTTGGCAATTAGCTTGTATTTATGATGATTGCAGTATCCCAGGGTCATGTCATCACCTTTTGTGATAACCTGACAAAGTCAATACGGAAGCCAGATTTACCCGATAATCATGTTACTAACAACAGCGATGATTCACTTAACAACTGTGGCAATAGAAATTTTGGGTTCAATTGTCGTAAATTGAGGAGTACATGTGAAGCAAAGAAAGGAAAGATGAAGTAAGATCATAAGCACATATATAGTTTTCATTCAATGATTTCTCTTAACAACTGAGTTGCCAGCTCCAGTTGACCCTAAAGGAGGATTGCCTGTAGCCCTTATCTAGATGGTGCATAAAGTAGAAAATGTTATAGGCAGGCACCAATTAATCATGATATTGCAAAACATGCAAGATTTGGTGAGCCACAATTAAAGGACATGAAGCTCTTATATTATTTAATCAGATGTTAATGAACTTTCTGGCACTTAAGCCCTGAAAAATGTTATAAGTTATCAGTACTTTTCTAGAATATGAGAAACTAAGGGTCTAGCACGTCAGATGCAAAATGTGTTTTTGTATGTGTGTAAAGATATGGTTATATAAAAGTAAAGTCTTATTAAGAAATGCTGCTTCGGCCATTTGATTCTGAACAGCTTACAGCAACACAGGACGTGTTAAAATGACATATTATCAAAGTTATCAATATAGTCCACTTAAAACCTAAGTCGTGACATCTTGCACCATAAAAAAAATCAAGATTCATCAGGTACATTTCCCTTTCTCACCTCAGTTTCCAAATGTACAAAATCTAAATGATCCCAAGATTGCCTGGCTCCAGTCGATACAGGATTTGAAATGTGTTGATCAACACCTTAAATTGCACCCAGAATCATTCCTGCCAGTTTAATACAAAAGATGGTTTACTGTTACCTTCTTCTGGGTTGTTGGGTATTTTTTTTTAACTTTCTATTCTAGCTTATAGAATTATTAACAAACCACTCACTTTCTTAAGAGTGCAACTACTTAACTGCTGTAAATGTCTTAAGTATATAAGATGAGAGAGTCTTATTTCATTGTGCTTAAATTATGAACACCAGTTTAGGTTCCAAGTGCAGTATTTTTTTTTCTTATGTTTCAAATTAGTGCTAGTAGAATTGGAAACTGAGTTCTTGATAATATAGCTATCTTATTTACTGGACTTTGATTCTATTTCTGATGTTTACTTTTTGTCCCCTCTGATTTCAGTGGCACCCACTACTGGCCATGTTGAAGGATCTAGTAGAAGATTTCACTAAGAATACTTTCAACTCCCTACTCTGTAACCTTTACCGAAATGAAAAGGACAGTGTTGACTGGCATAGCGATGATGAGCCTGCACTGGGAAAAAACCCCATAATTGCATCGCTTAGCTTTGGTGCTACCCGGATGTTTGAGATGAGGAAGAAGCCTCGGCCTGTGAGTTTATAAAGGTGGAATGTTATCCAGCTGAAACACATATTTTAAAGATTTTAAATGCATAATACAATATAGCTCTTTCTGCCCCACATATGTAAAAACAGGTGGGTAGCACATAAACCCACTCCTCAAAGTTATTACTAACCAGTTCATGGCTCTAATAGCATTTGATAAGCTATTTGGAGATAGGGTGGGATGCTTTTGGTAATAGGTGAGTGTTGGATGCATATTTTGAATGCAGGTTTCTTTTGCTGCCATTTCTGGATGAGGTGGGAAAATTGAATAGTAAATGAGGCAGGAGTATCTGATTGGTGAGGTGTATAAAACAACGAACAGCTTCTGTTAATATTTAGTTATCAAACTGAAATTCATTAAGACTTAATATCAGTCATTTATTATTATAGTGGTTAAGACCTGAGACTAGAAACCAGGAGACTGTGAGTGCTAGTTCTGCCTTTAGTGTGGTTGCCAACTGGGTGACTTTGAGTTGGTCACCCAGTTTGGCCCTTAGAAGAAGACAGTGGCAAATTACTTGTGAAAAATCTTGCCAAGAAAACTTCAGACTGATGAGTTTCATGGTCATGTTCAGTTTGAAATAGCAATGTATGCTGCCTGTAGCTAGAGACTGGAATGCCATAGTTGGAAATAATAAGGAGGAAAATATAATAGGCCTCTTAAGGCCTTAAAAAACAGAAGTGAAACACGAGCGTGATATCCATTACTGCTATTTTTTATTTTTTAATTGCTAACACATTCTTCAATCAATAGAAACTGATACCTATATACATGGACATCACAAGATGAAGCACATAGAAGTCAAACTGAGTATACTATTGGTATAAGGAGATAGAAGGGCTCAATTATAATAGCAAAGACATAGAAGAAGAAACATCTATTACTTGCTGATTATATCATTCTAATAGCTGAAAATGGAAATGTTGTGCAGGCTCCAGTAGTGAAAGTTGAGGAACTGAGGGAAAAATGGGAGTCCAAGTAAATGAAGAGGGCCGCCATTGCAGCAGGTACCAAAACCAGTCTGTTTTCTAATAATCTTGACTGCAGGTGATGTTACAAACATATCCATATAAGGTTTTTTTTTTAAAATAATGGATGTGGTTGATGTTGCTTTCCTCCAGGATTCTTCAGAGCCACAAATCCATCATTGCATTTTTCCCAAGGACTAATTATAGTCAACCCTGTTTGAAATTTTAGTTTGCTTCAGAGTGACCAATAAATAATCATCACGTGAATTATTTAATATCCTAAGTTTTTATTAAGCAGAAATGCAGATTTAGGGCTTACTTCATCATTATTGAAAGCTTTCTACAGACAAAAATGGGGAATCTTATTTGTTTGTTTATATGATGTCATACCAAAGTATATGGTTCAGATCATCTTTCAATTGGTATGCTGGGTAAATGCAATTGTCTACAGATAGTCCTCATTTAGCAGCCACATTTGGGACTGGCAACTCAGTCATTAAGCAAAGCAGTCACCAAATAAAAAATTACATGACCATGACTGTGCTTACAGTTTTTCACAGGACAGATTATACTATCTGACTCTAATGGCAATCACATGACAAAAACACTGCAAAGGTCGTAAATGCAGGCATTGTTCACACAGTTACTCCTTCAGTACCATCCTAACTGTGAACACTCACTGAGATAGTTACTAAGCGAGGACTAGAATTCCTACCCAGTGGAACCCTGAGAGTAAAACTCACTCATTTTCTTATGAAGGGTAAATGGCCCAGCATAAAAATTGGGAAGAGTGATCCACATACTCAGATTGGTTTTCATAACCTTACATTTATGTATCCTAAAGTTAACAGATTACTGATAGAACTTTAGTTTTAAGTGAATCCCAATTCTGATTTGATTTTTCATTCAACAACAGTCTCCTTTATGATTATTAGCATAACCTATACGATCATCTAGTAGCTTAGCATGGGACGTCACATCCCAACAAATTCCAGATCTTCTTTTCATCGAAGGGTAATGTGTGCTGTATAAACACACACTGTATACATTGTATGTTTCTAAAACATCTGGCTTCTGCAAAATATTTCTTTTACCAGGCAGATTTGATGTACAGGAAAAGAACTTCAATTTTTCCAAAATTTTTAATTTTAAATATATGTTCTGAATAATGTATGCTGTGAAATATGTTAAACCCTTTAAACTAAATAATCCGCTTATTTAGATGCTCATTAACTTAATATTAAATATTAATTGTTTTGGCGTTCAGTGCCGCATTTGTTCCATAGTAAATATAAACATTTATTCTATCAAAAGAAACAATATCCTTCCTGCCAGACCTAGGGATATTATCAGTGAGAACCCAAGTGATGTATTGGACATACTAAAAAATAATACTCAGCTTTGGGTTCTTTGGAATACAGACTCAACATGTGGCAGTTATGGGGTGGCAGTTTTGGTGTAACAAAACTTTTAGAAGTTTTTTGTTAAAAAAGAAAAGTCCAAAAAGCTTTTTAATTACAACTTAGCATGCAGTTAATTATTATTTGCTCTCCAGAATAATGTTTGCATTTTGTTTCATTGAGCTTCCATCATTTCCATAGGCCTTTCTGAAGCTGCATTCTCGTTTAGCAACCACTAAACAAGCTTGCAGCTAAACCACTTGTCTTCTTAAGGCAACTTCTTGTATGTACTGAATTAATTGTGGATTTAGAGCATTTCCCTCCCATATCTAGAACATCTTAAAACAGTGTTTCTCAACCTTGACAATTTTAAGGCATGTGGACTTCAACTCCCAGAATTCCACAGCCAGCAATGCTGGCTGTGGAATTCTGGGAGTTGAAGTCCACATGCCTTAAAATTGTCAAGGTTGAGAAACACTGTCTTAAAATGTTTTACTGGAAAAACCTTTGCTCATATTTTTCCTTTCTCAAAGAGGGAAATGATAGTCAAGCTCTGAATCTATTGCAGATCCAAGATAATATTTAGACTGAGTGAGTTTTTTTCCTCTTTCCCACTGCTAACTCTGAAACATTCATCATGCCACATTACGCTTGTTTTCAGTAAATATGGAAAACAGAGATATTCTTCTGATCTTGTTGCTTCTTAAGAACTGTATCTATAAGGCAGAAATTTAGCAAAGTTTATGTCAAGAAGTCCTGATTAAGATAATTTTTAAAATAACGATTTAAATATTTATTTTTTTAAAAAGTGCTTTTGCAAAATTGGAACCGTAGTATTTGATTTAATACAAAATATATCCCCTCTTTCAAGGAGAACAGTGGACTTGACCACTGTTTTGTTGTATTTAAAGCAAAGAATCTGATAATCAGAAAAAAATAAGAGTTTGAACTGATTTATCAGACTTTCAAGTTAACTTGGTCCATTTCACATTGCAGAATTTCAGTTCAATTCTCATTTGCCCAAATCATATACTGTACCTGATTGGTAAATCCAGAAACTGTTATGTTCCCATTTTAAAATGGAGGAACCCAATCTTGTTTTAAACCTGTTCTGATAAGTAGGTAGAGAACTACAACAAATGTTTATTACAGATTTAGACAAATGGGATAATGATCTGAAACGGATTGCTTTCCACTGCTGTTAAAATCATTTTTTAGCTTGTTTTTTCTTCTGAATGAAAACTTTATGTACAAACTTTATCTACTGTCATTCTTTGCTCCCTGGATAATTGACATTTTTTCATTGCCAACTCCAAGATTCATTTTCCTTTTCTGAGGAATAGGATAGTTGAGTAGTGAAGATGATGATTAGAGATGAAGACAGTTTTTTCCACATTGAATTAAAACAACCCATTAAAAAACTCTTTTTATACATTAGTTGATCAATAATTTGAAATANTGCGGACGCCGCCGCCAGGCAAGCAGGCGCAGCGCAGCGCCAGGGGAGGGGGAGCAAGCGGCGAGCCGTAGCCAAGCGCGAGGGGGAATGCCAGAAGCCAGGGAGGAACAGCCAAAATGCCCCCTCGGCTTATGCGCGGGTCACCAATTTTTCCCAGTTCTCTGTGGGAAAATCGGTCCCTCGGCTTATACTCGGGTCGACTTATACTCGAGTATATACGGTATATGGTTCAGATCAACTTTCAATTGGTATGCTGGGTAAATGCAATTGTCTACAGATAGTCCTCATTTAGCAGCCACATTTGGGACTGGCAACTCAGTCATTAAGCAAAGCAGTCACCATCTAGTACAGGGGTAGTCAACCTTGGCTCTTTTATGACTCGTGGACTTCAACTCCCAGAATTCCTGAGCCAGCATGGCTGGCTCAGGAATTCTGGGAGTTGAAGTCCACGAGTCATAAAAGAGTCAAGGTTGACTACCCCTGATCTAGTAGCTTAGCATGGGATGTCACATCCCAACAAGTTCCAGATCTTCTTTTCATCAAAGGGTAATGTGTGCTTTATAAACACACACTGTATACATTGTATGTTTATAAAACATCTGGCTTCTGCAAAATATTTCTTTTACCAGGCAGATTTGATGTACAGGAAGAGAACTTCAATTTTTCCAAAATTTTTAATTTTAAATATATGTTCTGAATAATGTATGCTATGAAATATGTTAAACCCTTTAAACTAAATAATCTGCTTATTTAGATGCTCATTAACTTAATATTAAATATTAATTGTTTTGGCGTTCAGTGCTGCATTTGTTCCATAGTAAATATAAACATTTATTCTAGCAAAAGAAACAATATCTTTCCCGCCAGACCTAGGGATATTATCAGTGAGAACCTAAGTGACGTATTGGACATACTAAAAAAAAATACTCAGCTTTGGGTTCTTTGGAATACAGACTCAACATGTGACAGTTATGGGGTGGCAGTTTTGGTGTAACAAAACTTTTAGAAGTTTTTTGTTAAAAAAGAAAAGTTCAAAAAGCTTTTTAATTACAACTTAGTATGCAGTTAATTATTATTTGCTCTCCAGAATAATGTTTGCATTTTGTTTCATTGAGCTTCCATCATTTCCATAGGCCTTTCTGAAGCTGCATTCTCGTT